ATACAAACTGTTGAGTCAATTACCACCTCTTTAGGTGAGTTAATCATTCAAGTGAAAGTTCCTAAGCGGAAAACTCTATAGTTGAGAAAATTTTGTGGATACAGCAAATCTATTTACAGGATAAAAAATTTAGATTTCTTTACACATGTCGAAAAAACCTATAGCATTATTCTTACCTAATCTTCACAAAAATTCCTTTAGGTGGCACAGTAAACACCTCCAGGAATCTGCAGATAACTTACTTAAACCTACATTTTCTCACATAACAGAACGAATATATAGTATTATCAATAAAAAAGACAAAATTAAAAATTTTTTATTGCTCCAGGAAGCTAATAATCAACAAAAATCAATTTAAGACGAAGCATAAGAAAAATACTGCCAAATTAAAATGTGCCTGTTTTTGTTCTTATAGACAATTTTAACAATAGGATGGTAATTCTGGATGGTAATTCTGGAAGTATTATCTTCGTGACCTCTCAGGTTGTTGACTGGTCATCGTTAACCACCTCAAATCAAAATGAAATAAGTAAATTAAAAAATAACTTTGAAAGACAGGGGAATAGCTAAGCAGCTTAAGTGCCTGCCTGGCTAATGCAAGGTCCTAAGTTCAATCCTCAGTACCAAAACACAAACAACAAAAAGTCTGAAGAAAACCAATATCAAAAAGTCCTACCACAAAAGTTTATTACTGACTTATAAGAAAGCCCCTCAAGGGCTGGAGTCAGTCATCTCACCTCACTTTTCAGTCCTGACTTTTTTTTTTCCTTTTTGAGAGGGTTTTGCTATGTAGTTCAGACTGGCCTTGAACTCACTTTGTAGCCCAGGCTGGCCTCAAACTCACAACAATCCTCCCACCTCAGTCTTCCAAGTGCTGGGATGACAAGTGTGCGCCACAACCAACAGTCTTGACAAACTAGACACTGTAAGGATAACTGATGGTAACTTACTTACAGACACGTAAGTCAGCTAGAAGCAGGAACGACGTAAAGGGCAGCTGCCATTTGACCAGTACTAAAGAGGCAGTGACCTACAGGATCTTTCATGAACATCAATGTAGGGGCCAGGGAGCTGGCTCAGTAGAATAAGTGCTTCCCTGGCAAGCACACGGGCCTAAGTTCAATCCCCGGTTCCACCAAAAAAAATAAAAAGAACAAAAAAAAAAGAAAAAAGAAAAAAAAGAACATCAATGTAATCACTACATGTTGATCCAAGTTACCAGTAACATTAAACTGCATTCAGCGAAATCTGCTTAAGATAGAAAACTACATAATACATTGAGAAAAGTTTCATCAAAATCTTGAGTTCTTCGTAGTAATCAGGATAATAAGCCTCAGTTACCTCTCATGTCAAACACACATGCGTTGAAAAACTGTACTTTATTATTATAGTATTTAACATGAAATAATGTGCATCTAAAATGTTATTTTAGCAACTGCCATGACGTAGTACTCAGTAAACAGCTACGTGGTGTCTGATTATGATACTAACCTACTGCAGCATGAAACTGAGACAAAGCGTCAGCTAGCTGTCCAGCTGCAAGCAATTTCTTGCCCAATTCAAGATGTTTCTCGACATCTGCATTTACTCCACATTCAGCACCTAAAAACAAAGTTTAAGAAAAATCAGTTAACTGCCATGAACCATGGCTTAATTCTAAAAGACCATAAAATACAGTTATCTGGTTTAATCATCTCCATAAATGGGTAAGGTCACAGAAGATGAAAAAGAACTTAGAGAAAGTAACAAACACAAACAGTGCTTATTTTACAGTGTAAAAAGCCCAAAAATATATCAACTTATCAGTCAAAATAATAAACTATCCAAATATTATGTTAAATAAAATTACAATTGCCTTCTTAAACTGCAATCCTATTATATCATCTGCTATATTTAAGCTTTTACTAAATACCTATAGTGTACGAGGAACTGCTCTAGGGATTTGGATAAGCATCAAAAACACACCTGTCCCTTATCCCTTCTGAGTCCTTGATACTATGATGGGCAGAGACACATGTGATAAGTAAATTACACAGTACATCAGGTGACAAGTACTGTGGACAGAACGCAGTAATGTGAGGGTGGGAGGCATGCGGGAGGAAGACCATGGGAAAGGGGCTCAAGGGCGGCCCTCTTAAGAAGCTGGCACGTCAGCAAGACCAAAGTGAGGAGCTCACTGTGCAGACATCTAGAAAACCGCTTTCCTCGGAGGAGGACAAGCTAGTGCAAGGGCCTTACATCAGGAGTGTGCAGGTATATTCCAGAATCGTCAAGGACCACTGGACACTGCAGCAAGTCAGCAGAGTGCGTGGTATGAAGTCAAAGTAGTTAAAGTCCCGAGTACAGACAGCTTTCATTTGACTGGATGCAAAAGAAAGCTACTGACCCATTTAGAGGAGAACAACATGGTGTGACTGGCCAGTTACCAATCACGGCACTCCAACCCTGACCTCCTCCTTTAACATCTATAAAGTCCTAATGGAGTAGCATTTTTTTTTGGGGGGGGGGGCGCACAGGCTCAGCCTACCCTGAGGGCATGTGGTGCTGGGGATGAAAACATGGTCGGTCCCCTGTGCCTGCCTAAACTCGCCTAAGCAAGCACTTTAGACTGCTGAGCTCTCACCAGTCCACAGATGCAATTTCTGATTTTTTTTTTTTTTTTAAATTTTAGGGAAGGGTCTACAGGGTGTTCAGGGTCTCATCACTAGATCGGACTTGTAGTGATCTGCCTGTCTACTGCCGCCCAAGAGCTGGGCTTACAGGCTTGTGCCACCACACGCCCTGGGGGCGGGGCTGGCATGGCAGGCCTAGGGATCGAACCCCAGCCCCTGCGCCTGCTTACAGGCACTTTAATCCGCTGAGCTATTTGGCCGGCCCTAGACTAGCATTTTAAATACATTACACTTTGTCAGTAAGGCCACAGAGAGAACCGTAAGAAAAAAAGATACCTCATGGTTCTGTTTGCGGCATTTTAACCTATTCCTGATTCCTACTGTTCGAGTGTCTGTGAGGACCTCTAATGGTAACTTGCCCTAGCATGTCCCTCAGAAGCCGGGCACCTCCTCCCGACCAAGGCACCACACAGTGCAGCTTCTCACATCCACAGCCGAGCCTGTCTATCCCTATACACAGCCAGGAGCCTTCTTAGGTACACCAGATGGTCGCTTCCTGGCTGCCTAGCTACTGTGGAACAGGCTCTGGGCCCAAGAACTCATGAAACTTCTCTACTTTTAGCAATTTCAGGCTGCAACTGGACCTTCTCCAGCCTGAATGGGGGTCTGAACTGTGTAAAAGACCACTCTTCTAAATTGGCCCTTTCTTGGGACTTTCAGCCCTAGAATCTTTGCACTCTCCTCACATCTTTGACTACTCTCCCAACATAGCTTAACAATTCTATTGAACTCTCCTCTTTAAATAACTGCTTTGCCTCCCCAGTAGAGTCTGGTGCACAGCTGGCAGGAGACACATCCTCAAAAGGGGGTCTGAGGGTTAGTTTGGCCACATCCTTGAGCTCGAGTCTTGCAGGGGAGAGCTCTGTGCCTCCAGGAAATGAAGGGCTAGTACCACACCTCGTGCAGTAAAATGTAGGATCGCAAGTAACTTGTTCTGCAGATGTGCCACAAGACAAGCAAACGTCTATAATAAATTTTAACCTGATACCCTGCAATGTCTTGCAATACTAATACACAGTGCCAGAAGTCCCAAGAGCACTGCCGAGCCGACGCTCCCTCTCCTTCTCCAGCACTTTCTCTCCTTCCCGCCCTCCATCTACTCTGCAGGACAGTGGGCGACTGTCCCCCACAGGCTGTGAGACTTCATCTGTGAAGGAGGAAAAGAAAAGCGGGCAGAAGCCCTCAGTTCAAATGAGATTAGAAAGAGCTGTGACGTATAGCAAAGGGAGAGGTGTGAAATGAGGAAAACGGTGCAAAATTTTGGAGACAACCACTTCCCAAATCAGGCGAGAATAAACGCAAGCGATCTGTCTGTTTAAGGACAATGCACTGTTCACATCTACACAAAATTCTCAAAAGGAGGCAAAAGGTAACACCACTGGATAGCTTCCTTGTTTTTGTTTTTTTGGCTGGCTCAGGCGGCCTCAAGGGCAGGTCTAGTGCAGCATGTGGAGCTGGGGATTGAACCGTGGTCCCCTGCACCTGACTGAGTTTGCCCAAGCAGTGCTTTAAACAACTGAGCTAACCCTCAAACCCCCTGGATCACTTCCTTGTTAAAATGGCATAAAAGGAAAAGATTCTACTGAGCAAAGATAACAGTGATCCCATTAGTGATAGTGAAACTGGATCTATACAATAATCCTCTTCTAACCTGTCTCCCTCACACTAGCCACAAAAGTTTTCAAAGGTTAAGCGACACTTAATTCATTTTCCTTTATACTGTATTATTTTGTATTATATTACAGCATTACAATTTTATATAAATATTTTTGGTTTGCAAAATAAATCTTGAGTTATTACTTCTTATGGGGAAATCCCCTTTAATATGTTCTAGAACACAAGTGCTTTGGATTACAAGTATGTTCTAGAACAAATTATGCTCACAAACCAAGGTTTTACTGTACTGAAATACAATAATAGAGCTACCACTTATGACTGACCTGGACAAGAAAAGTGGTGAGACACGTTATGGAAGGCCAAGTGCCTGCTGCACCTGACAATAATGACAGGAATAAAAATAAGGACTGTGATGTGAAATAGACTCTTTTAAATCACTAAAGTGCTTCAAGAAAAATAACAAGGGGGCCGGGGAGATGGCTCAGTAGAATAAGCGCTTCTCTGGCAAGTGCAAGGGCCTGAGTTCAATCCCCGGTTCTGCCAAAAAAAAGAAAAAGAAAAAGAAAAAGAAACTCAGGTGTAACCCTCCTCTTACATAGGTTTGAGAGTTTCCATGACAGCTTGAAAACAACCTCCTCTTTTTTGTAGCCACAGAACTAGTTTAGCTGAAATAGCAACCACAAAATTTAACCATGATGGTTGCTGAATTAAAGCAATAGTTTTATCCACAGTCTCACCAAATTTCTCCTGTAAAAGCTAAGGCACAGTTGAATAAACAATGAAATCCTTACATGTGGAATGAGAACATATGTTTGGATACAGATGAAATTAGCCAACTTGAACTTCCAAGTCCTTAGTTCCTCTCACCAGAATTAGTTTGCCCTTATGCAATGACGACTTAAAAATCCTAGGACAACCTTACATTGGGCAGACACCTTGAAAAGAGAAGCTTATCCTTCTCAAAAGCCACCATAGTCACATGTGCATTAGTTAGAGTCAAACCACAGCAGACTTCAGAGGCAGATACACACGATGACCCAAAAGAATTACAATGCCTTACTGATAAACTAGCAGGACACCAATGACCATGTAGACAAACAGGTTCCACAGGTGGTAAATCAAGAGTAGTAAAATATAACACTCTATCAGTCTAACATATACACATTTACTAAAAAAAATTCTTAACAATTTTCCTAGAATGAGAGGAGGGCTGGGCTGGAATGCTCCTTCTTATTCCAGAGAGCTGAGAAGACACACCCTTCTTGAAGGCATTGCAAAAGGTGTTGGTGAGGGACCATCTACAGCCTTCTGGAAGCTCTGTGGTCACGACCCTCCCCTCGGCACTCCCCTCTGCAGGGCAGCACTGACTGGGAGACACAACAGCAGAGATGGGCTTTCTGACTTCAGGGGGACGATACTTCCTACAGCAGCAGCTCAAGCACCAACACTTAGCTATCAGAGGCCAGCTAGGCCTGTCAACTGTACAATGTATCTATTAGAGATAAAATGACACACTCTGTGGAAGTCACTCAATTTCTTTCACCACCCTGCAAGTACAAGGAAAAAATGGCCATGGTAGCAGGAATGGCGGCTTTGAATGAATTCAAAAACAATGATTAGTTCTTGGAAAGAAGAACTAGCTAAGCTATTTCTATACATCAAAGCTGTCAACAACAAACCCAAAACTGTGCTCCCAACAGTCAGGGGAGAGGGGGTAAGGGAGGACTGACTTTATCTGGTCTTCTTCCTTAATGGATTCCCTTATGATATTCTGGGTATGAATTTCCCCTAATGTTCCACTTGCACACCATTCACAGAAACAGAATGTACTATCCACCATCACATCAGTCTCCACAGCACTGTGTCTATCAGGAAGTTCATTTCACAGCAGAAGCTCACAAAGTGCTCATCCCATAGGATTAAGTGGCTTTACCACATACACTACACACCAATGTTTCTAATGAATACAGTGATGATGAGCCTTCTTAGAACTTTCAACAATACAAATAGACTGTTGTAATATGCGTGACATACACTCACCACCACCAAATTGGAAGGTAAGACTGCCATCCTGCAATTCTGAACTTAAGCCCCTGAAACTAAAAAGTTAAAAAAAAAAAAAAACTACCCTATCCTATTGGCTGGAAGAAAAGATACCAACTCCCAAGAAGAAAAAAGGTTGCTACCAAATAATGGAGGCAAAGTAGGGGGAACCAAGGCCTCTCCCCCTTCTGCTCCCCATATGTCTTCTTTCTACCATGTTCAACACTAAGGGTTAGTTTTAAAAAAGAATCTATAAAACCACAAAACAGG